AAAATTGGCTCCAAACCAAAGGTGATTTTGTTTTATCTCCACATAAAGGCTTTTTTTCACGAATGTCTTTAAAACAGGGATCATCAACTAGATTCAGCCGCGGGCCGATTTCTTCTTGAGCGGATGGTCTGGGGGCCGGAACATAATTACAAATAATTTGTAGATTGCAAATTGAGAGCAAGAAGCCCAAACAGATATAATATTTGACTAAAACATAATAATTGAATACCTTGCTTACATTTGTATACAATCTATTATGCGTAGGAATACTTTGAAACGGGGGGGGGGGGGGGGGTTGGGGAAACCTGCTTTAAAAGATTACTTATAGGGGCCTTCTGTATCCCAAAGGGTTAACAGTTGCTTCTCTGGCACACTCAACCCCTTGTATAGTACTGTGTACTACCTGGCATTGATTCATGCCACTTTCAGGGTACACCAAAAAAGGAGAGAGCCGCTCTCGAATACATCATCACGTTGGCTCGGCCTGCATGGGCCAATTGCTTCCAGAGGTGGCTATCTTTAGACCTGCCCCTGCCACTGAGAGTGAGACGGAGTGAGAGAGAGTCCCAGCATACATCCCATACTTCTGAAGGCATGTCATGGGGTTTGCTCTGTCGTCACAATCAATGCTGCAGGAAAATAATATTGTCCCTATGGGCCTTTCCCATCTGTGCTTCAGTGTTATTTTAGCCTTTTCCTGAGTACACAAATCCTTTTGGAGGCCACTTTTTCTCCGAAATGTGGGAAAGAGGATGGAAGGGGAAATTTGTACCACCATGGGACAAGGAAAAAGGCGGGAACCCACGGAGTTTGCAGTTAAATTGCAGCTAAGAGATTGCGTCCATTTTGTAATGATTTCACTTGTATTTTTTTGTTGTGGTAGTCAGAGCTAGACATGGGAAGCTGACCGCATCCCACATAATGTCAGAAGTCAAGTACAGCACATACTTTTATGCAGAGGTTATCCAAACAGTGAGTGTTGGAGAGTGTGCGTGGAAGAGAGCAATAGGTTCCCAAGTTATCAAAGCAGGAGAACACAGTGAACTCTCTTTGGTGTTCATCTTTTGAGGCAATGAAAGACATAACCAATATTTAAAGAGCGATTAGGACAGTGAACCTGCTGAATCTGCAGTAGTAGTCTTCAGTCTCTTCACAGTGGTAGCCGGAGAATGTTCTAGACTGGGTCGTGTTCAGTAGGGTAAACTGTAGAAAAAACGGTGCAACAGAAAACCAAAAACCTGTAACCTTATTGGACAGGTTCAGGTAGTACCTCCCTGTTTCACAACATTTTCTCCCTATGGAACATGTCATTCAAGACAACATCCAGATGGACCAATAGAAGAGTGTTGAGTTTTAAAAAATCCACCCCTGAGGCGATTTTTGGAACAGTGGTGCTGCTGAACGAGTAAGAAAGGATTGCTGTTGCGTGTGTGGTCCCATTTCTCCATCTTATGTTTACTCCCTCTCCTCTATCTTATAAATCATTGGACTGTAATGGTATGTTGACCCCCAGAGTAGGCATTAGATGACATCCCAGGGGAAAGGATTTGGGTCATGGTGACCAAGCAGCCGTCGTTTGCATGTCAGTACTATCTCTCAGCATGTAAAGTATCACCTGAGTCACAGCTTCTTCCAGCGCTAGCTAACTCAGCACAGTGAAGTTGGAGTCAGCCTTCTAATGCTAGCTGGCTAACAGCTTACTCAGCACAGTGAAGTTGGATCCATAGCAGGTCTGGTGAGTTGGAGCTCAGCCATAACACTAGCATTGTCCCAAGGTTACGCCACTACCGTAGCTAGCACAGTGTCATTAAATGATGGCTGGATTTGGGACCCGTACACATTGTAATGAGGTCTCAAGAGATTTCAGAATTGGCCCAATGTTACTGTGAAGACATATAAAAATAGTTATGTGATGTCTTTGCCCCTCTGTGTCTCCCTGTTTTGTTTTAATTATTAAAGGTTTCTGCTGGTATTTATTCTGTAGCCAATGTGTATCAAGTTTATTGAGAAAGCATGTCTTATTCATGGTCCTTTATATTGAGTCCATTACGCCCAAGGCCAAGGGCTTTGCTTGTTCGCCACGCCTATTCAGACAGGGGCTACTGTATTGTTGAACACATCATTTAACACTTTTGTTGGAACTTGTTGGAATTTAATGCAAACTACAGACATTTACAGAACTACTGCCATTACAATAATTGTTCACGTGGTATTTCAGTTTTGATATGTCACAATGTACACTAACGTAATGTGAACGTGTATTTCGTGCACTGATGCTGATTTCTGTAGTTGTTTTTTACATTAAAAGTAGCATGTTATACGGTACTGCATATGTATCTAAGGGAGCCTTGTCGTCCCACCAGTGAAATATGGGTTGTTATTCTTCGCTACAATGCTAATGATATACAGTATGTTCTCACTGTTCTCTATAGCAGGGTTTCCCAAATTCGGTCCTGGGGCCCCCCCTGGGTGCACGTTTGTTTTTTTGCCTTAGCACTACACAACTGATTCAAATAATCAAAGCTTGATGATGAGTTGGTTATTTGAATCAGCTGTGTAGTGCTAGGACAAAAACCAAAACGTGCCCACAGGGGGGGGGGGGGGGGGGGGGGGGGGGGGGGGGGGCCCAGGAACGAGTTTGGGAAACCCTGGGCTATAGCTAGTAGTGATACATGTTTTTCAGGTAATAAGTGTTGTCACCCTGCTGTTGCTATTCAAAACCTAGCAGGAAGTTGTAGGAACCCCAACCCTAATAAAATGCTCTGCGGTGAAGTTTCCGCTAGGTACATATCAAGGATCAGCTACCCCTCCCCCAATCTTAACCTTACCCATTAGTGGGAAAAATCCCAAATTGACTCAAGGTCAGTGTCAAGGGGGCACCTTCACTCTCCCAAAAGAGGATATTGAAAGTTAATGAGCCAGGCAATTATTAGGGGACGGCCAGAGTCCTAGAGTCTGATACTTCATAGTGGGCCTCTTCTCATTCGCTCTGAAGTACGCACACCTGTGATCACTTTGCCATTCTCTTTGAAGGTCTAGGCCCAAAGCATATTTGATGATATGACTTTTAACATGTTCTGTGTATGCAGACGTGCTTGACTGCAAATTGTACGCCTGTGCAGCGTAACCTGTGAGGATCAGTGTTTTTGACAGATAAAAGGGCATTTGATGGTTTTGATGATAAAAGGGGAGCTCTTTCTTTGGTTACTGTCAGAACAGACAGAGGGTAAAGCAGCAGAACTAATTTGATTGATGAGCTCTTGACAAGGCCCTATATTTACATATTTGGGAATGCCTCAAAGAGAGACCTACCCTCTTAAGGATTTTAAGACCTCTAGTAAGGCAACCGGGGAACAAGAAGGTACAAGAAGGTACAAGAAGGCAGTTATGTGTTGGGTTGACACGGTCTTGAACTTTGTTGCCCTCTCAGTAGGTTACTCCACCGCTTGCCAAATATTTCTCCTGTCGGAGGTTTATCCACAAATGCCAACTCTCAATGCCAAGTCCAGTGCCAACTCTCTCCTGGTCTAGAGCCAGACAGGCCAGACAAACCCAGCCATGTTGTTCCTAGGTTCTCACAAACACTGACACGGCACTAAAGTAGGGGGTCTATTTATGACGCTTAGGGGGTCAACGCATTGTACAGTGTCTACTGTATCGTGTAAGCAAACACACATGATATGGTGTTGTTATTCTTAGAGGTGACAGAGATGTCATTGAACTGTCATTATGAACAATGAGTGGTGTATATGAGTATGTATGGAAACATATATCGTGCAGTGAACAGATTCTATAACAAACATGCATGGGGAAAATGATCAGGAAGCATGGAATAGCTGCTTTCTATCCTCCTGGTTCCTAAACTGTACTGTTCATCCTAGCTAATCATTTTAGCTTTGTGAAATTTCAGTTTACAGAAGACCATGGTAGAGCCCACTATAAATAAAGAATGGATTTATTTTTAGGGGGGAGAATCCACAGCTGATATCAAAATATTATAAAGAATATTTAGATGTAGCCCTAGTCTTGTTTAGAATAGATTAATCTAGCCAGATTTTACAGTTTCACACTATTCAGAGACACACTTGCCTGACTGTGAGATCAAGAGTAGATGAAATACATTGTAGGCATTATATATGGACATTCCGTTATGTAAACAAACTTTGTGGTACTATATGCAGTTTATATGAAGAGTTTTCAAATACAAATTCTTCACTGCACAACTGCCTCGAGAATAATACTCAATTACTTATTGAAACATAAACAGATGTAAAGTAATGGGAAGAATGACTCTCCAATGGATGTGCAGAAAGATTCCTTACCATTTATATACGTACTACAATGTGGTGTGTGTGTGTGTGTGTGTGTGTGTGTGTAGATGTGTGTCGATCTCAAATGCTGTTAGATCTGGTAGGTTGCCTTTAAAGTGTGTAATCTTCTTACTGGTGGAATCATGTCTTCAGGTCAAAGTTCACTGGCCCCCAGAGCATAAACTTCCTTGAGTCTAATGTTACACGGTTGATTGGTAAGGTGATGCTTTATTTAGGGGTGGAGGGTGGTTGTTGGGGGGGGTCTCAGCACAGACGTGAATCCACCACCCCACCCTCCCCCTCGCAGGGATTTGTGCCACTCCATAGCCCCCCAAGTCAGATGACAGGGATGAGCAGTCTTGTCAAAGAACCAGACAGTGCTTTGATCTCCGGTCTCTCAGTTAGGAAATCACATGGACATCCTCCATAATGATTTCTTTAAAATCATCAGTAGCCTCAGTGGAGAGAATTAAATCCAAAGATGACTGCTGAGACTCTGATAGTATGTAATTAACAATGCAGGTCGTTGGCTAGTGTGGTTGAAACCCAGATATCCTGCGGAGGTCCAGTAGTTATGCTAGTTGAAAGGTGAGACCTTGAAGCGGATGAGGTGGGGAGATACAGTATATGAAGAGATAAGAGGTGGTGTGTGTGTTAGCGCCCCACACCTGCTTCCCTTCTCACCAGCAGCTGCTGGCTTGGCCTACAGCCAGGCTGGCTAGACAGACAGACAGAGGGAGGGAGGGAGGCAGGTAGGGCACAGTGTGCCAAGTGTCTTTCCATCCAAACACATTCCAGGCTTTGAAAAGCCAGTGCCTATCTCATCTACCTGTCTGTCTTTCTTCTGTTTTTCTGCGCTGCAGGGTAGGGGAAGAAAAAAAAGAACGCTTTATAGTATGTGAAATCTCGAAAATAGTACTCCGAATGCATCATCTAATGCGTGATTGCGTTGACTCCCGCCATTAGTTCATTTTGGTACTGCGCATCAATAATCAGCTGTTGTCAAACACGTGATTTGGAAAAGACGAGTGAATTCTACTAGATCAAACGCCGAAATTAGTATGCAGTTTGTATGTAGTATGTAGTACGCTAGTATGGGTATTCGGACATGACCAGTGAGTGCGCACGAGCGTGCGTGCGTGTGTGTTGTTTGTGCGTATGTGTGGGTGCTTACGTGTGTGTGTTTGTGTGTGTGTGCATAGAGCAGCTGGTGGCTGATTGGGTTCAGCTGGGCCAGAGAGAGCGAGAGAGCAAGAAACATTGTTACGGTGTAAACATTAAATCCACTATGCATTATGTGGGTTGCATGCTATAACAACACAAAATAAAACAATTAATAAAAGTCCCATGATGGTAGTGACTGCCCATTACTGCTTATTACTTATTAACTGTCATTTATTCACATTACTTTACTTTAATAAAATATTTCAGTTGTGTATATTTGTTTTATTTGATAACTATTATTTCATTCTAAGTCATCATCTCATCTCTATAGAGCTGCTGCCTATGCTGTCTGACAAAATCACTATTTCGTAGTTCTTCAAAGTAAATAAGGCATACTTTTATGACTGCTGAGTACCATCTATCAATCATTTAGATAATGTATTTTCAGGTAGAGATACCTCGCGAAGCAACCGCTGATCTCTGTATCACCTCACGATCGCGCATTTTTCTCTCTTCAGTAGCAGGTGTAAAATAAACACATACCGGACAAGTGATGCGCAATAGATTATGGTCATTGTAGTTAATTACCACGTTTTATGCACTAAACTATGTAGAATATTGGCCCGTTGGAAACCACAACTCCCTACTATATCGCACAGTTCAGGTTGGATCTAATTTATCTCTAGAGAAACTGTACGATGTGCGCATTGAGCTCACAGAAAAAACCCCGAACCAAATGGAATTCAAATAATTGAACCTATGTCATCAATTAGTTGTTTAAAAACCGAAAATTAACCTACAATTCAGTTAATCGCTCAGCACTAGGTGTTTGCAGGCAGGAGTTATGTCTTCAAATACGTAAAGGTCAAAATGTTTGATATAATATGGCCTGAAAAAGAGGGCTCTGCCTTTACATGTCTTTGAAAGGAGTAACAATAATGAAGAGTTAACCTGAAAATGCTTGTTTGTGTTATCTGGTGTAAGTACGCCAAGCTTTGTTGGCAAGCCCACGGATCTCACATGATTGAGCATGGACAGCTGGAACACTTCTGGTCCTCACTTGAACTATCAACAGTGACTTCCTTGTTAGTGTGCTGTAATGACACACCTTTTAATCTCTTGTCTTCTGTCAGAGAGCATGTCAACACCTAGAAATAGTCAGAGTTGTTGTCAGCCCACTCCAGACATGTCTCAGACTCATTTGTGTTAATTAGACTCAATTCTGATGTTCAAGGTGGTTGATTCATAGGTATGCTGGCAACGGTCTCCAGCCACAGTCTGACTGCAGCTAACAATGCTGTGTTTGAAACCACGTTTTTACTTTGAAAACATTAATGAAACCTTTTTTAAGACATTCTTAATGTGTCCAGTCTAGTCTACTAGGCAAGCACATTTAAAAACCTGCACATTCTGGCCTCCCGACCATCATATATTTTATGGTACAGGCAGTGTCTTTGAGGTTTTTGTCAGTAACTGTAAATACAACTATGTGGAAAACTTTGGCTTAAACCATCAACAGATTGCATGACAACCATTTTCAAACGTCTTCGGTTGAGAATGAAAGCATCAATCTGCAATTAGACAAGGTTCTCATGACACAGGACAAAAGTGACACATGCAACACATGCTGCTACAAAACAAAGCTGGACATCCGTCTATGTAGAGAGGATAGCTTCAGAATCGGAGCATGATGACTGACTACCTGACCCCTCGTCACTCTGAGAGCCTGTTCAGAGTGAGTCAGCATTGGCCTGTTGTTACGTTGCTAATGCACAGGAAATGTTTTTTTTGGGGATGCCTAATTGAATCACTGTAATAAGACAACATCCTTCTTCCTCCATTAGCCTCTGGTGGGCCCAGAGAAGTGTGTGTGTGTGTGTGTGTAATGTGGGTTTACTGTGGGTGCAGGATGGAGATATAATAACCTGGCTGTCACTGTGGTGTTGAGGTCAAAAGTGCTCAGTGAGTGTTAATGTGAACTGTCTCACCTCTCATACATACAGTGCATCCAATAAGGCACACGCACGCTGTCCACATTAACAAACCACACGTGATTGAGTTGCCACATTTCTTTCTTAACTCTTAACTCATAGCATGCTACTGAAACTGGCTAATTAACGCTGGATCTGGGCAGAAAAGTCTATAGGCACAGCAAGGGGTCATTGCCAACGTAGAGGCTATAGGAAGGAGTATGCTTTCATATTGTGTGTAAAGTGCATACAGTGAGGGAAAAAAGTATTTGATCCCCTGCTGATTTTGTTCGTTTGCCCGCTGACAAAGAAATGATCAGTCTATAATTTTAATGGTAGGTTTATTTGAACAGTGAGAGACAGAATAACAACAACAAAATCCAGAAAAATGCATGTCAAAAATGTTATAAATTGATTTGCATTTTAATGAGGGAATTAAGTATTTGACCCCCTCTCAATCAGAAAGATTTCTGGCTCCCAGGTGTCTTTTATACACGTAACAAGCTGAGATTAGGAGCACACTCTTAAAGGGAGTGCTCCTAATCTCAGTTTGTTACCTGTATAAAAGACACCTGTCCACAGAAGCAATCAATCAATCAGATTCCAAACTCTCCATCATGGCCAAGACCAAAGAGCTCTCCAAGGATGTCAGGGACAAGATTGTAGACCTACACAAGGCTGGAATGGGCTACAAGACCATCGCCAAGCAGCTTGGTGAGAAGGTGACAACAGTTGGTGCGATTATTCGCAAATGGAAGAAACACAAAATAACTGTCAATCTCCCTCAGCCTGGGGCTCCATGCAAGATCTCACCTCGTGGAGTAGCAATGATCATGAGAATGGTGAGGAATCAGCCCAGAACTACACGGGAGGATCTTGTCAATGATCTCAAGGCAGCTGGGACCATAGTCACCAAGAAAACAATTGGTAACACACTACGCCGTGAAGGACTGAAATCCTGCAGCGCCCGCAAGGTCCCCCTACTCAAGAAAGCACATATACAGGCCCGTCTGAAGTTTGCCAATGAACATCTGAATGATTCAGAGGAGAACTGGGTGAAAGTGTTGTGGTCAGATGAGACCAAAATCGAGCTCTCTGGCATCAACTCAACTCGCCGTGTTTGGAGGAGGAGGAATGCTGCCTATGACCCCAAGAACACCATCCCCACCGTCAAACATGGAGGTGGAAACATTATGCTTTGGGGGTGTTTTTCTGCTAAGGGGACAGGACAACTTCACCACATCAAAGGGACGATGGACGGGGCCATGTACCGTCAAATCTTGGGTGAGAACCTCCTTCCCTCAGCCAGGGCATTGAAAATGGGTCGTGGATGGGTATTCCAGCATGACAATGACCCTAAACACACAGCCAAGGCAACAAAGGAGTGGCTCAAGAACAAGCACATTAAGGTCCTGGAGTGGCCTAGCCAGTCTCCAGACCTTAATCCCATAGAAAATCTGTGGAGGGAGCTGAAGATTCGAGTTGCCTTGAAACCTTAATGACTTGGAGAAGATCTGCAAAGAGGAGTGGGACAAACTCCCTCCTGAGATGTGTGCAAACCTGGTGGCCAACTACAAGAAACATCTGACCTCTGTGATTGCCAACAAGGGTTTTGCCACCAAGTACTAAGTCATGTTTTGCAGAGGGGTCAAATACTTATTTCCCTCATTAAAATGCAAATCAATTTATAACATTTTTTACATGCGTTTTTCTGGATTTTGTTGTTATTATTCTGTCTCTCACTGTTCAAATAAACCTACCATTAAAATTATAGACTAATCATGTCTTTGTCAGTGGGCAAACGTACAAAATCAGCAGAGGATCAAATACTTTTTTCCCTCACTGTAATGGCCCTTCTGGCCTGTGTGTCCTCCTACGATGCCTCACGCTGTGACACGCTTGGAGGGAAAAACCTCTCATTCCTCTGTGAGAGAGCCGAACACTGGCTCACTATGCTGTCTGTAAATTGAGTCTTTCTTCCTTCCTAAACAGTGACACACTGGAATGCAGCACATTAATATGGACACGGGTGGGCTCTCAGAATTCCTGTCATAGCCTCTTTTTTCTTTGACAATTCTGAGCTTTTCAGCTCCCACCATGTCAGGCCAAGCAGTTGTGTGTGTGCGTGTGCATGCGTGTCTGTGTGTGTGTGTGTGCATGCATGCTTTAAAGCTGGAATCCTTAATGGTGAAACAGCCTCATCCATTTGTGATATTACAACAACAAAGAAGTTACTGCAAACAACCAACACTGTTTTTCCCCCTCTGACATCATTGATAGAAGACGGTGGTGGGGCGGCCATTGGCGCTGTTTCCCCCTACTGCGGATTCCATCTTTAATGTTGGTACAGAAATGATTACTAAAGTATAATCAAAGCTACAAACTTTCACGTCATTGTGAAAAGTGTCTTTAAACGTGACTGATTCTACACAGTCTGCCTGCAATGTAAATGATCTCATACATGTGCCTTGTCTCTCTGTGTCTCTACAGCAACCTGGGCCAAGGTGGAGGTGAACATGGAGGACAGAGTGGAGGTGTTCCTGAGGGACACGGCCCAGATCACCTGCATGTTCACGGTCTCAGACAACCCCGACGACGTCATTATCCAGTGGTACATGGTGAGTAGTCCCACACACAAATGCATGCGCATGGACACACGCGCACACACACATGCACGCACACGCACACACACACACACACACACACACACACACACACACACACACACACACACACACACACACACACACACACACACACACACACACTGTTAGTGCTTTAGCTAACTCTGTTAGCAGTTGGCTAAAGACCAACAGATCTGACAACCAGGCTAACACATCCCTTACATCTCAGATCCCTGTTTCACAAATGAACTCATGCTCTCTGGGCTGAGTCCTAACTTGAGATCCATTGTGCATTTATGCGTCAGCTAACATTGATGTAAATGGGAGATTTACATGGGCACAAAGATTTACTTTACGCCCATGGATCTCAGGGATTCGTCCCTCTGCCCTGTTTTCCAATTGACTTTGACAATGACCTTCGGCTTGGATCGTAGATCACAAAGACCAATGTCCGCTTGAGGATCTACTACGGAGACAGCACCATACAGGTAGTCGACCGGGGCGGGCAGTTCACAGACAAGATCAGTGTGATTGGGAATGGGAAGAGCAGCGAGGTGGTGCTGACCATCAGGGACGTGGCGCTGGAGGATGAGCTAGAGTTCATCTGCCAGGTCAACGGGCTGTCAGCGGGTAACGAGGAGGGACGCACCATGCTCAAGGTGTTCGGTAAGAGTGTGATGCACCCATTTCTAGGGCCAGTTTCCTGGACCCAGATTTAGCTTAGTCCTGGAATAAAAAGCATGTGGCATGCTTATAAAGCTGCAGTATTCTAGCTATTGCTCCCAATGTGGTGTCATCCATTGTTCCACTCTAGAGTCACCTGATCGTCCAATCATCGAGGGGGTGCACTCTGGGATCTCTGTCAGCAATAAGAACCCATCTAAGGTAAAAACAAACAAACAAACAACACATTGTTAGCGATAGCTACGGTCAGTGAGGACTTCAGGGGATAGCATAGGGATAAGGTAAGGGCTTGTAACTTTTGAGGGCTTGTAACGCTGACCTTTAGCGAAATGCAAAGTATGTCGGTTTTATTGTAAAAAACATTTAAAATGAAGCTTTTTATATAGAGTACATGGTTTTCAGGAGAAAAGGGTTTACACTGACCGTGTAACGTCATCTTTCTCCACAGATAGGGAGCTGTGAGGCTAAGAACGGCTACCCCAGGCCCAACATCACTTGGTACCGTGACCAGATCTCACTGCAGAACACGCCAGGCGGTGAGTAACACCAAGGTTTGGACCACAGTGTCCATGGACACATTAGTATCTACGCTATGTGAAACAGAGTTGATAATAACAGCTAGCAATTCCACATCTGCTTCATGCTCTTCCTGCTTTTTGTGTGGGCAAATTGACAATAACAAACACATTATAAACACATTTAGAATGTTGTAAACATGCCTCAGATCTCACAAGGAAGAACATATTTTATCTGCTATCAAAGACGAAAAGGAGATTGATGTCGGTCAAGAATTTGACAGTGACCTTGAAGAACAAAGATCAGTGATTAATATGACACGGATCATGCCTGTTGGAAAAATAGATGTCTGTTTCATGTGCCTGAGATGTGGATTTGAGCTGAAATATTAATTTTTAAAAACGGTATTTAAAAATAGAAAATGAAAGGAAGTGATAGTAAACTACCCCATGTATTCTCTCCCCAACCTGGCCACTGGGGATACATCAACATGTGCAAGCAGCTACACTTCTACAGTAACTCAAGTTCTCTGTTTTCCATATGTGCTGCTTGTCTCAAAGTGGTCAGTGTGGTGACCCTGGTCACTAAGGAGTCCAGTGGTCTGTACACTGTCCAGAGTGACCTTCACCTGAATGTGGTCAAGGAAGACAAGGATTCGTTCTTCTACTGCGAAGTCAGCTACCTTGTCCCTGGTGGAACCAAGATGACAGAGACCAACAAGATCAACATCACTGTCCACTGTGAGTCTACTGTGCACCCTCTTAATGTGTCCCCCTCATATGGAGACAGTAGAAAACTATACACATGCACAGTCACAGACTTACACAAGTACAGTGCCGTCTCAACGAGAAGTATGAATCATAAATACAAGCAACTATGCTACAGTGCAACGTTTTTATTTTCTGATTGTTTGTGCTGTCGCCACGTGTTTCTGTCAAGTTGTGAAGTCTCTCTTGTCCCGTACTGTACTTTATATGGCCACACTTGCCACTTTTCAGGTCATCTTTGTTAACACGAATTAGGTCTTACATCTCGCTGACTTGCCTGGATAAATAAAGGTTAAATTAAATAAATGTAAAATCTCTTCAGATCCAACCACTTCTCTTGATGTGTGGGTGGAGTCACCGAAGGGGCGTGTCAAAGAAGGGGACACAGTTGAGATTCATTGCCGTGCCGACGGGAATCCTCAACCACCCTTTACATTCATGCACAATATGGTAAGAAACCCATGCCTATCTCCTAGTCCCATGTAAAAATACAAAATAAAATGCTTTCTGTGTCTCCAACCATAAACAGAACTATATACATTTATGCATGTATTTACTGTAAGTGATTGGATGTGCCTATACCTGTGGATGTGGATTGTGTGTGTGTCACTGTGTGTATGTGTGTGTACGTGCATGTCTGTGTTCATACACATCACTGTTGATGTGTGGTATAAATGCCACTCCCTCTCTGTAGGAGGAGCTGAAATCTGAGCTGAACGTATTGGTCCTGAAAGACGTGACGCGGCTAAGCAACGGCAACATCACGTGTGGCGCACTGGACCTGGACACATATGAAGAAACCCTAGCACACACAGAGCTCTTTGTCGACTGTGAGTGAGACGTTCCTCTGGTACAACTGTCCTGTACTGCCCGGTAGACATTTCTGGGACTTATCCCCCCCACCACCACTTATTAGTAATTATTTACATTTTACATTTTACATTTTAGTCATTTAGCAGACGCTCTTATCCAGAGTGACTTTACAGTTTTAGTGAGTGCATACATTTTTCATATTAGTAGCATCAGGAGTTGGACCCTCGTTATGATCTATTACAAGGGCCTAGAGTTATTCACTGACTCCTGGCCTAATTATTGCATTAGTAGTGAAATGTAGTGTAATGTAGTGCACTGGTTCTCAAACTGTGGGTCGCGACTGTGAAACTGAATGGGAACAATGTATACCATTGCCCCTTCGATCTGGTTACTAACATTGGCCTACTATATATAGAGTAATGTAGCAGTGTTCATAGCAGTGGATGTTGTGTGTCTATAGATCTGGACCTGGCTATTTTGATTCCAAAAGACACCCATGTCATGGCCCAGGGAGAGGAGCTGATGGCCACCTGCAACGCCCTGTCCTCCCTGCCCACACACACTGAATGGTTCAAGGTAAATTACAGTAGGCCACTGAGCCAAACGCTATACTCCTACACAGTTATATTACATTATGTTACTGTATATTTCATTTTTAGAGGCAATCTAGCTATGCTGATATGTAGTATTTAGTATTTATTAGGATCCCCATACTCTTCCTGGGGTCCAAACAGGGTTAAATCAATTACCTCACAACAAAACACAACAACAGCCTACATCTTAAATAAAACAGTACATCATACAATATATATTATTACTCTCTTAATACAAATGTACAATATAAAATCCACAATACCTCAACATTGCAATTTGTGTGTGTGTAGAGTGTGTTTTAGAGTGTGTGTGTATGCGTGTGTGTTTGTGTGTGTGTGTCTCTTCACATTCTGTGTTGTGCCATGAGGTGTTGTTTTATCCGTTTTTTTATCTGATTTTACTGCTCGCTTGAGTTACTTGATGTGGAAGACAGTTCCATGTAGTCATGGCTATATATAGTACTGCGTGTCAATTTGCCACTGTTCTTCTTTGTGGCACTTGACCATATAACTGGGCAGTAGTCCAGCTGTGGTAAAACTAAGGCCTTAGGACTATTTTGTTGATTGTGATGTCAAGAAATCAAAGCAGCACTTTATCATAGACAGACCTCTCCCCATTTACCTACCGTTGCATCAATATGTTTTGACCATGTCAGTTTACAATCTAGGGTTACACCAAGCAGTTTAGTTTCCTCAACTTGCTCAATTGCCCCATTATTCATTACAAGATTTAGAATAGGTTTAGTGTTTAGCTAATGTTTGGTCCCAAATACAACTCTTTTAGTTTTTGTTATATTTAGGACTAGCTTATTACATGCCACCCATTCCAGAACTGACTGCAGCTCTTTGTTCAGTGTTGCAGTAATTTCGCTTGCTGTGGTAGCTGATGTGTATAATGTTGAGTCATCAGCGTACATAGACACATAGGCTTTACTCTAATGACTGCCTCGCCTGGTTCACCAACTACTTCTCAGATAGAGTTCAATGTGTCAAATCGGAGGGCCTGTTGTCTGGACCTCTGGCCGTCTCTATGGGGGTGCCACAGGGTTCAATTCTCGGGCCGACTCTATTCTCTGTGTATATCAATGATGTCGCTCTTGCTGCTGGTGACGCTCGGATCCACCTCTATGCGGACGACACCATTTTGTATACATCTGGCCCTTCATTGGACACTGTGTTAACAAACCTCCAAACGAGCTTCAACGCCATACAACACTCCTTCCGTAGCCGTAGTAAAACTAAATGCATGCTCTTCAACCGAACGCTGCTTGCACCCGCCCACCCGACTAGAATCACTACTCTCGGCAGGTCTGACCTAGAGTATGTGGACAACTACAAATACCTAGGTGTCTGGTTAGACTGTAAACTCTCCTTCCAGACTCACATTAAGCATCTCCAATCAAAAGTTAGATCTAGAATCGGCTTCCTATTTCGCAACAAAGCCTCCTTCACTCATGCTGCCAAACATGCCCTCGTAAAACTGACTATCCTACCGATCCTTGACTTTGGCGATGTCATTTACAAAATAGCCTCCAACACTCTACTCAGCAAATTGGATGTAGTCTATCACAGTGCCATCCGTTTTGTCACCAAAGCCCCATATACTACCTACCATTGTGACCTGTACGCTCTTGTTGGCTGGCCCTCACTACATACAGTGAGGGAAAAAAGTATTTGATCCCGTGCTGATTCTGTGAAATCTGTGGAGGGAGCTGAAGGTTCGAGTTGCCAAACGTCAGCCTCGAAACCTTAATGACTTGGAGAAGATCTGCAAAGAGGAGTGGGACAAAATCCCTCCTGAGATGTGTGCAAACCTGGTGGCCAACTACAAGAAACGTCTGACCTCTGTGATTGCCAACAAGGGTTTTGCCACCAAGTACTAAGTCATGTTTTGCAGAGGGGTCAAATACTTATTTCCCTCATTAAAATGCAAATCAATTTATAACATTTTTGACATGCGTTTTTCAGGATTTTGTTGTTGTTATTCTGTCTCTCACTGTTCAAATAAACCTACCATTAAAATTATAGACTGATCATGTCTTTGTCAGTGGGCAAACGTACAAAATCAGCATAGCAACACCCACCCGTAGTCTGCGCTCCAGCAGGTATATCTCACTGGTCATCCCCAAAGCCAACACCTCCTTTGGCCGCCATTCCTTCCAGTTCTCTGCTGCCAATGACTGGAACGAACTGCAAAAATCTCTAAAGCTGGAGACTCTTATCTCCCTCACTAACTTCAAGCGTCAGTTGTCAGAGCAGCTTACCGATCACTGCACCTGTACACAGCCATTCTGAAATTAGCCCACCCAACTACCTCATCCCCATATTGTTATTTATTTTGCTAATTTGCACCCCAGTATCTCTATTTGCACATCATCTTTTGCACATCTATCATTCCAGTGTTAATTACGAAATTGTAAATATTTTTGCACTATGGCCTATTTTTTTATTGCCTTACCTCCATAACTTACTACATTCGCACACACTGTATATATATTTTCTGTTGTATTTTTGACTTTATGTTTTGTTTACCCCATATGTAAAACTCTGTGTTGTTGTTTTTATCGCACTGCTTTGCTTTATCTTGGCCAGGTCACAGTTGTAAATGAGAACTTGTTCTCAACTGGCTTACCTGGTTAAATAAAGGTTAAATAAATAAAAATACTCGTACTAGTGGTAGGCATTAGTAAAAAAATGAATAAAGTAAGGTGCCAAGACAGCTACCTTGACATATACCAAACTCTACCTGGTTTACATTAGAGGCTTCCATTAAATAACTCCCACTGTGTTCTGTTAGATAGGTAAATCTCGATCCATGATATGGCAGAGGAAGGAAAGCCATAACATATATGTTTTTCAGCAGCAGACTATGATCAATAATGTCTAACTAAACAGCTCCCACAACCCCCTGATATCTGTCTCGAGTATGTCTTTCGAATCTCCCTGTGTCTTTCAAATCTCCTAAATGTTCTTTAAGAGGTGTGGCTGTGCTTGATTTCTATTGTGTGCGCGTGTGTGTGTGTGTGTGTGTGTGTGTGTGTGTGTGTGTGTGTGTGTGTGTGTGTGTGTGTGTGTGTGTGTGTGTGTGTGTGTGTGTGTGTGTGTGTGTGTGTGTCTAGAAAGGAGAAAAAGTTGCAGAGGGCCACACACTGACCCTGAAGGACGCTGTGTTTGACATGGCGGGGACGTATGTGTGTGTGGTGAAGGTGCCTTCACTGAAAGGACTGGAGACAAGTGGCTCTTTACATGTCCTCGTACAGGGTGAGCCTACAAACACACACACACACACACACACACACACACACACACACACACACACACACACACACACACACACACACACACACACACACACACACACACACACACACAAACACACACATATACACACACAAACACACAACTAACCCTCCGTTCCCCTCTCCCGTGCAGGACCCCCAGAGATCAAGGAGTCAGCAGACACAGTCCTGGAGGAGAGCACAGAGAAGTCCCTCAAGCTGAGCTGCCACGTTAGAGGATACCCAACCCCTGTCATCACCTGGAGCTCCTCTGACCAATCACAGGTAGACAGGTAGACAGACAGACAGACCAGCAGGAAAAGAGGGCTTCTCTGGGTCAGTTCATACAGACAATGCTTAGACTTCTTCTTTTGATCTATTTATGCACAGATCTGTTCCGATCCTGGCTACCTGGGTCATTTCCTGTAACAATGTTAATAGACAAAGCAACTCACGTTCAACATTCCTTTCTGAACCGACATATCTGCATTTGTCAATAATGTTTATTGTTTGTCCCAAATTTTTCCCATTGTAGTGCACTACTTTTGACCAGGGCCCATAGGGCTCTGGGCAAAAGTAGTGCGCTTTATAGGGAATAGGATGTCATTTGGGACACACCCAATGTTTCGGTTTCTGGTCTTACCTGTGCTTTATTTCCCTGTTTGTGCTAGATCCTGAAGGTGTCCCACAGACAGACAGAGGATGAGGTTCTCAGTGTGGTGAGCGTCAAGGTGACCTCTGATATCACAGCCTACTGCAACGCCTCCAACAACCATGGCACAGACTCCATCTCCTTCAGCATCAAAGCCAGTAAGTTCTGTCTGAACACTGTCTTATTTGTCATGTCTTGTATATTTTATGTCATCATGTCCGGTTTGACTGTTAAGAGAAAATTAACAGGCAGAATATACTAACGACCGACAGAAACTAAATGACAGAAAACTTGAACCTGAGCTTCAAATCATCTTTAGTAAAGCTGCTCCTAGTTTTCCTCAAACTGTCAGTGCGCTAACAGGAGAGTGTCACTCTCCCTTTGCCTGTTTTCAATGGTCCAAACGACCTCGTCAGCTCCCAGTACTACAGGTAAGTGTACCACTCTTTTAGTAGATAACACTCACTGTCATCACTGCTATAGCATTGGTTGAGTTCCACATCGTCTTCACTGCAGTTGTGCTGCACATTCCTGAAGATCATTATATCACATCAATGGGATGTTTAACATTTGCCAAGCATTGTGAGATCTGATTACCTATGCAGCGTGACTGCAATAAAAACGACCATGGTATTGCAACAAGGAACTTCATTTATCAATCAAGCGCACACCCTGTGCTCAATCAGATTTTCCCAATTTTGTGGTTGAGCGGTTTATTGTCTAGTTTAGCTTTCTGAGTCAGGCAGAATTTTTTAAAAAGAAAATGAAAAATGTGACGGGTGCTTTTAGAAATTACCAAAATCTTAATTAAAATCTATAATGAAATGGTCTTTATGGGTGCATTAAGGTTTCTACTGATGAGGACGGTCATGGTTGAGAAATGTATTTTCCATGTGTTGATCCATCTTTATGGGCCGGCTTCCCGGACACAGATAGATTAAGCCTAGTCCTGAGCTGGACTAAAAATCTATTTCAATGGAGATTCTGGGCTGTCATTGAGCATGCTTTTTAGTCCAGGATTAGGCTCAATTTGGGTCCAGGAAACCAGCCAAAGAACTCTTACTACGCTGTCATCCTATTTCGGACTATGTTCACTAAATGGCTGCATATCGCCCTATTGCATAAAGATAGCCTACAGCTGTCTTGTTTGCACACAGATCAGGAGCGAGGCTGAAACTGTAGCTGTGCGCTGATGGTTAAAGTGCACTCAACACAGTCTCCTGACTCCCATTGCCTCTGCGGACCGCTCACGTCATGCCAGGAAATCTTTGCCTTCGTCCCTCTGAGGGAAAATCCTGTTTGCTGTTGTTTTATTTGCAGACTAAATTTGATTAAATGGCCAGTGCTGCCGCTCCTGGAAATGATTATGGTATTTTTTGGGGGGTGCAGACTGTAGAGCCTTTCCTGGTTCCTGTCTCCTGCCTATCTGTGTTTGTAACGAGGAGCTAAGTGATTAGGGCCATGCTAAGTAGACAAGGCGGTTGTTACACAATGGTTAACAGTGTTAGGTTGCCATAGAGCTGCTGTATTATCGTGATAACTGTGTCCGTGTGGTTTGTCTAGTAAAAACTCCATCAGCGCCAATAACAGTGGGAGCTCCAGTGCCGGTAACAACAGTAACCCCAGTAACTCCTCCGAAGAGAGTCAAGAAAGGTTTGTGACTTCCTGGTCCTGGGTCTTGATGTTGACACCCACCTAACACGCTTAGAAGGCTGCCCTGCCCACCCCTCGCTCCATCTAGTTCACACTGCCTAGACTGATCCCCCCCACCACCACCATCACCCTCCACAGCCTGCACACTCTCTCTTTCGCGCCACAGCACCCTCGTTCTCTATGCAGGGGAGGGCTTTGTACTCACTACTCAACACCTGTGACATATGGAATAATTAATAATTTAATAGGATCTCTCTGTTTGTGACTTTGTAATACTGTATGAAAATGTACCGTATTACACAACTTTATCTATGTGGAGAGATACTTATAAATGATCAAGTGGAAAATTATGAAATCTATAATTATTTTATTTTTGATCATCATACATTGTTAGTTACAATTGTATCATTTTAATATTTTCTCTGTATGATGCTTCATGAATCATCGAAAAACATAATTAGAAAAAACAAAGTTAAACCAGGCTGAAAAGTTTAATTTGCATCTTGTGCATTTTGAGTACAAACCCCCTCCTGAGAGAATGGAGTGGTATCACCCATTCTCTCCCTTGATGGAAATGGATCCACCCATCTACATCTGCATCCATCTACAGGTCCATCCCCAAGTGCACCCATCCACCTCTTTACCTTCCCTTACTCTTTCTCTCTCCCTTTGTCATGCTGCCTCTTTCTGTAGTTCTGGTTGGTATTCTCTGACAGAGAAACCAAGCAGCCCAACTCTGGAAAGTGTTTCTTCTGACTGATCTTTAGTCCTCAATAAAGAACTTCTTCCATGATGAACAACCTGGTCAGAGACTGCACGCCTGTTCATCACCACCACCACCTGTGCATGCTGTCTCTGAATGATGCAAGCGACCCCCCACGCACGCATGCACACACACACACTGCACAAGCATCATCAGAAACTCCTTAAGAGGACAATGTTATCATAAAGCAATTACCGGACAGGAAATGACCCGTGGTTCCGCCTCTTCTTCTTTGTCCCACCAGAGGGCAGCGGTGTGATCATCGCTGTCATCATCATCTGTATTCTCCTGCTGGCTATCCTTGGCAGTGTGCTGTACTTCCTGCACATGAAGGGCAAGATCCCATGTGGGCGTTCGGGCAAGCAGGATCTGTAAGCGTTTTCCACATTTTTTTCTTTATTTCAGGTTTGCAAAATTCCAGAAGCATTCTCAAAATTCCCAGGTTTTCCAGGAATCCTCCAACCAGAATTGCTGGAAGAGCTGTGGATTTTGGGGAAAGTTTTTGTAATTTTGCAACCTTATTTGGAATCAAATAATTTGTTGGATATGCCTCAGAGGTACCTCTAAAATAGCTCATTGCCATTGATGTGTTTTTTTCTTCCTGATTTTACCTGATGTGTCATTATCGTTGCTATCAGATACCCTTTTCACACTATCGTGCTGACCCGAACCGTACTGTGCTGACTGGGATAGTTTATTGTCCTTTTTAGTATCGCAACTATGGTGGAGTCATAAACAGGCCAGCTCGGGTTGTCTTGGCATAGTAGTGTGAAAAGGTAATACATTGGTCATGCCGGTGACTCTGAGCTGTCCTTCTAGTACCAAACCGAATAAGGGCAGCATCGTGGTGGAGATGAAGAGTGACAACACAGAGGAGGCCGTGCTTTTAGGTGTCAACGGAGACAAGAAGCCCCCTAGTGACCAGGTAACTATGGACACTGGCTATTTTTTTACCATCCTTATAAATTGTACAACTACTCATCAAAATGATAGTTAAAATTGTATCTTTTAGTATCTGAACTTTAGTGGTTAATACAATGCGATGTTGTGTTGAAGGTGTTGAATGTTCCTTACCAGCTGTCCTATGATACAATCCATTAGCACAGTTACACATTGTTTCGCTTCTGTGTGTGTGTGTGTGTGTGTGTGTGTGTGTGTGTCCTCTGGAGTAAAGGGAGATAAGTACATGGACGTGCAGAAGTGAGCGTGGCTGTGTGAGGGGGCGACTGCTGCAGCTGCTCCCAGTCCAGTTCACTCTCTCAGGGTGGGATGGATCCTTTGATGCCTTGTAGCCTACAACTCCCAGGACAACTCATATGATATATGCTGCAGTTCTCTAACCTGTTCCCAGATTCATAGTTCTTTAGGATGGCAGTGGCTATGTTATCTTAAGTCATGCTATTTCATACTTTGTCATGTTTTTCATATGCATAACAAACAACATGACAGAGAAGCTGGCCTAAGCACATACAGATCTGGGATCAGCCTAGCAATTTTCATGAATGTGGTTATTCTATGCACCCATAAAATCCAGTTAGAGCACAAAATAAGAAGGACTGTTTGTTATATATGTTCCTTAATCCAAATGACAACTCGGGCAACCAATCACTGAAGATCAGCCTGGCACTGCTCTTTATTTCTTTATTTAAAATAACCTGAGAAAAACCTTTTAAAAAGACATGGCTAGGAGTTTGTTTGTTTTGGGTTTGTTGCTTTTTGCTGGAGAGAAGCTCTGCAGCTTTCCTCTAGAGGTCCACCTGCTGTTGTTCTGCACGTGATTGGCTGCCTTTACTTCCTACTTTGCTAAAGTCTGTACACTGAAACCATGGGTGCATGTTGACGGGCTTACCTACCATGTCTACATGTATACAGCCTGCTTAATCTACCAATGTAAACCAACATCCAACCTTTAGAGCTATGTTCTGAAGGTGAACTCCAGTATCGGTTGTGAATCGTTGATATGTTATTATTTTTTTTAGTAGCTTTTACTTAACACTGAAACTAACCTTAGACTTGTTTTCCCTTTGTTTTGGGCTTTGTGAATGAACATGTAAAGCCTTGTCTCATCCTCTGTTATGTTATGCGAGATGGGCCCTGTTTGAATACATCCCTCCTTCTTTCCTTCATTGGAGTAATCACTGAGCTGACATGACTTGGATAGGTGAAGGCCTATCCAATCAGGTCAAATCAGTGATAACTTCATGGAAGGAAGGATACGTGGTGAAATATCCATGGATAAGGGGTCCCCATTCCTATCAGTTCAGGATTGGGTTCTTTTGTACTACAAAAGCCAATAGCAGAGCTCCGATGAAGCCAAAGTGTCATTGGTTACTTTTTCTTCTTCCATAAACTGCTGTTTAGTTCTCGTACTGTTTGTAAATAAGAGGTTAGAATCACACGGATATGTTTCCAGTTTCTGTTCGTAAACGTCTGTCTGCCTTATACATTCAGCCTCTTATTCTACAGCTAGCGGTATAGCTTACTTTCTTTCACACTTGTTTTATCGTTATTTGTGAGAATGTCCAGTGCACTGATTTAGTTGTGTTTATGATTTTTTGTCATATTTTGTTGGTTTTGTCTGTGAATCTCTGGTTTAAGTTGGGTGAAGGGGTGTTTGCGTGTGTAATGCGAGTGAAATGTTAGCTAGTTTTTTATGAAGGTAAAATAGCTCTTTGACCTAGGGGAGAGTGGGGTGTAAGTTGAGCCACCCTTGTTTCTAGGAAACCATTCACAAAATGAATATTTTGACCAAATATTTAGGAAGAGGTCATCATTTCAAGTCTGTGAAGGAAGAAACCACATGGAAAAAGTGGTAAGCAAGTTTGGTCCAAAAAACAGATTTTCACCAAGTCAAATTAATTTGTTCGAGGTTTCATGATGCTTGTATCTAAACCAAAGTAGATAATTGTAAGATTGTTCTATACATCGGTTGGGGTCTCTATAAGCTTCAATATGAGGTCCTAAACATCCTTGTAGCTCTGTGGGCTAATATAGTCAAAATGTTTGCCTTGGGGTAAGTTGAGCCAATGGTCAATGGCAAGTTGAGCAAATTTAAGTGTTTTCTTCCCAGGCGTAATGCAAGGCATTATCGCTGGGATATGAGGTAACAACAGGGCCCATGTACAAAGTGTTTGTTAGGTTTTAAGCCGGTGTTAAAAGATGCTTAACATTATTTAAAATTAAAATAAATGATTGCGATTATGTTGATTTGTGTTTGGGAAATAAAGATTGACATGGTTTTTAAAAAGGTAGTGGTCATATTTCATTGAGTAAAGACATTTGTAGGTGGCTCAACTTACCCCATATGTAAGTTGTGCCAAGACACCACTTTCTTTGGACAAGCTGTGTTTTCAAAACTGTAAAATGTACATTAATTCTGATTATTTCCAGGGATACACAACATCCTGACATATATGTAGATATCTTTGTTAGAAAGAATACTATATTTCCCTTGATGGCGTGATACTGAAAGTAAAAAAAATTTCAATTTACCCCACTCTCCCCTATGGCAAATATAAACTATATGAAAGTCATCTGAACAGGGACTAAATGTTAAAACTCTGATGGTGTTTTACACAGAACCCCTCTGAAATGTTATGCTTATATGTGTATATATACAGTGGGGGAAAAAAGTATTTAGTCAGCCACCAATTGTGCAAGTTCTCCCACTTAAGATGAGAGAGGCCTGTAATTTTCATCATAGGTACACATCAACTATGACAGAAAAAATGAGAAAAAAAATCCTGAAAATCACATTGTAGGATTTTTAATGAATTTATTTGCAAATTATGGTGGAAAATAAGTATTTGGTCAATAACAAAAGTTTCTCAATACTTTGTTATATACCCTTTGTTGGCAATGACACAGGTCAAACGTTTTCTGTAAGTCTTCACAAGGTTTTCACACACTGTTGCTGGTATTTTGGCCCATTCCTCCATGCAGATCTCCTCTAGAGCAGTGATGTTTTGGGGCTGTCACTCAAAATCTCACGATACATGGCCCCCACGGATCAGTCGTCCTGGTCCCTTTGCAGAAAAACAGCCCCAAAGCATGATGTTTCCACCCCCATGCTTCACAGTAGGTATGGTGTTCTTTGGATGCAACTCAGCATTCTTTGTCCTCCAAACACGACGAGTTGAGTTTTTACCAAAAAGTTCTATTTTGGTTTCATCTGACCATATGACATTCTCCCAATCCTCTTCTGGATCATCCAAATGCACTCTAGCAAACTTCAGACGGGCCTGGACATGTACTGGCTTAAGCAGGGGGACACGTCTGGCACTGCAGGATTTGAGTCCCTGGCGGCGTAGTGTGTTACTGATGGTAGGCTTTGTTACTTTGGTCCCAGCTCTCTGCAGGTCATTCACTAGGTCCCCCCGTGTGGTTCTGGGATTTTTGCTCACCGTTCTTGTGATCATTTTGACCCCACTGGGTGAGATCTTGCGTGGAGCCCCAGATCGAGGGAGATTATCAGTGGTCTTGTATGTCTTCCATTTCCTAATAATTGCTACCACAGTTGATTTCTTCAAACCAAGCTGCTTACCTATTGCAGATTCAGTCTTCCCAGCCTGGTGCAGGTCTACAATTTTGTTTCTGGTGTCCTTAGACAGCTCTTTGGTCTTGGCCATAGTGGAGTTTGGAGAGTGACTGTTTGAGGTTGTGGACAGGTGTCTTTTATACTGATAACAAGTTCAAACAGGTGCCATTAATACAGGTACCGAGTGGAGGACAGAGGAGCCTCTTAAAGAAGAAGTTACAGGTCTGTGAGAGCCAGAAATCTTTCTTGTTTGTAGGTGACCAAATACTTATTTTCCACCATAATTTGCAAATAAATTCATTAAAAATCCTACAATGTGATTTTCTGGATTTTTTCCTCATTTTGTCTGTCATAGTTGACATGTACCTATGATGAAAATTACAGGCCTCTCTCATCTTTTTAAGTGGGAGAACTTGCACAATTGGTGGCTGACTAAATACTTTTTTCCCCCACTGTATGTATATACACATACCTAGTGGTTTTCATTCTACAAACAAAATTGCAAGAATGTGTTTTATCTGTTGGTCAGACTACTAACATTTCTACAGGAGAGAATGGCTTGATAACGATACACTCCTTAGTTTGAGCTTTCTTAATCACAACAGGTAAGATTCCAAGAGCTCGTTCATGGCCATGTTAAAACACATACCCCAGAAGGTCCTCGTATTAATCATTCATGACACTACAGGTTAAAAACTGGTTTGCTTAAGTGAGCGCCAGACTTAAGTCTGCATCAATCATTAGGGCCACCATGTTATTTTTTACTCATGGTCCTCCCAGTCATATGTTCACTGTGCAGTCAGAGGAAAAAAGTATGACAATCAATGATCAATCTTTGATAGTATGAAGTAAAATATATGTTTGGTTCTTTTTACTTACACCCTTCAATATCTCCCTTAAAGATATTTTTTGTTGATGTTTTTTAATGATTTGTAATGTATAGGACTTGCAAAAACAGATTAACTTCAGGACAGGTGAACAGATTCCTTTTGTTTGTAATTTATTTTGATTAAGTAAAACGCCAAATAAAAATGACTGTTCAATGAAAAACATGTCTTTCTTTAAACCTGAAAAAATTGTACATCTTGACAACCTTCAACTTTCTGTTTTTGACAGGACTAGCTATCCATTGATTGAAAACTGTTTAGTATATACTCCAAATATAAACACCGGTGGAAGATAAGATCGTTTGGCTTGTGAAGACAGGAATGTATACTGTACTACAGTAGCTGAGGCCGTGTTTTGGTCACCTCCCATGTTTCCCACATTGCTTCCCAAAAGTACTAAAACATATTTAGATAAGTAAATGGGGATTTGGAAGTTTTATCCAATTTTTTATTGATGTCAAGATGAAGGGAACAGGAGTGAGTTTGTACTGGGCCTAT